GGAAATTCTGAGCTCCCAGGGTAGTGTTGCTGAAAATGTGGCTGGGGCACAGTAAGGAGATCCGGTGGGGAGAGTGGCCTCTTTGGTTGCTTGGGTGGAATATTCCCTGTGGAAAGATTTTGGAATCTCTTCATTCATTTTCTTCCCTCTGAGGTTTCTGGCAAATGAATCCTTGAGATTTTATCTCAAGGGAAGGAAAATAGGAATTCAGGTCTGAGAAAGCTCCTTTGGTTCCGAAGCAAACATTTTAAAAAGTTGGGGTGGGGGGCACAGGCAATTCTGAAATGAGTTATTAACACACAGCTCAGTGTTAGGGTGTGTAGAGTGTTGTGAGTGATCAGCAACCCTCAAACTGGACTCTGGGCTGGAGGGGAAGCCTCCCGAGAATGGAGTGCGGCCCCGAGGTTTAATCTGCACCCCTCATTATGTTGTATATGTGAATGCCTCCTCCCAGACAAACTGGTAATGATCACCCGCATCGCAGAGGGTTATGAGGAGTCAGGGTTTCCAGAACACAGCCTTGCAACAGGTGCATGGTGCGGGTGAGAATGCCAGCACATGGGAGGCGTCTGTTGTTAGAGCTGCTGGTGGTTACATTCCCAGGCCAGTGCAGCCCATACCGGACTTCAGGAAGAGCCACATTTCAGATCAGGAAGAGATCTGAAGCCTCCCTCCTTCCTCCCAACCTGAGATGCCAGGTCTAAATGCCCAGTAGTAGGGCCTGGCCCTCTCAGGAGGGCATTTTCTCAGGCCTGATGAAGCTGCCTCTTTCCTTCTCCCTGCTTGAGACAGGCCCTGAGGCTCCCAGGGAGCCCAGCACAGTCTCAGCCCCCTGCCCTCCTCCCCATACCCACCCGCTCTGGGGAGTGAGCCATTATCTCAAAGGTCAGACCATGCAGGAGGCTGATCTCATGAACTCAGGAAGGTGCTTGTCCAGGGGTTCCTGGCTGCGGTGCCCTCCACAGGCAAGACTACATTCCTTCCTCAGCTGCCAGTGAGGTGATGCCAGGAGTTCCCTGTATAACTTTCAGGCCAGTTTATGAACTGGTTGGCACCTGTGCCCTCCTCCTGGCTCAGACAGGAGAACCCTGAGCAGGTGAGCAGAGAGAAGGGGAATTTGCAAGGCTCTTTCCCCAGCCTGGGCACCCTCAGCCCTTCAGAGCCTGCAGATAGGAGGGGTGGTGAGGACACCATTCTGAATGAGCAGAACCTCCAAGACAGCCAAAGCTGCCTACTTGCCACCTGGCCCTATGCCTGCCCTGTTTTCTCCCTAAAGGCCTTCACCCATGCTAGTGCAATCACCTAGACTGTCCTTTCCATTACCCCTTCTGTAATACCCAGCACAGAGCTTGACGGTAGGTAGGCCTTTGCATCAGCCTGAAGCCATCTCCCCCTTCTAACTGGATTTGGCCACAGGCACACCGGCTCATGCTTACGTGTGCTGCCTGTGGTTATAGTTATTTGAGCTGTGTCTTTACATCCCTAAAATAGCAGGGCAAGGTGTTGAGGATAGCACCACCCCAGCACCCAGCCCACCCTCAGAAACACCTCAGGCAGGATGTCTAACCCTTGTCTTGTTTTGTTTCTTCCAGGGAATCCCAATGCCCACTTTCGGAGGCCTCTTCCCCTACCCCTACACCTACATGGCAGCAGCAGCCGCAGCCGCCTCGGCTTTGCCGGCCACTAGCGCTGCAGCTGCCGCCGCCGCAGCCGCCGGCTCCCTGTCCCGCAGCCCGTTCCTGGGCAGTGCCCGGCCCCGCCTGCGCTTCAGCCCCTACCAGATCCCGGTCACCATCCCGCCTAGTACTAGCCTCCTCACCACCGGGCTGGCCTCCGAGGGCTCCAAGGCTGCTGGCGGAAACAGCCGAGAGCCCAGCCCCCTGCCCGAGCTGGCTCTTCGCAAAGTAGGGGGCCCCCGTCCCGCGTTGCCCTGTCGCCCAGTGGCTCGGCCAAGGAGGCGGCCAATGAACTACAGAGCATCCAGAGACTGGTGAGTGGGCTGGAGAGCCAGCGAGCCCTCTCCCCAGGCCGGGAGTCGCCTAAGTGAGGGGCTGCCCTGCTGCTCCCCTGCCTCGCAAGCCACCGGGGCTCCCTGCCCCTGCTGCTTGGGGACGTGTACAGCACAGAATGGGTATTATTTAAATAAAGGAGCAAAGTGGGCTGCAGCAGCCGGAATAGAGCCTCGTCTAGCAAGTCGAGGCCTGGGACACTTCCCTGGGCCTCAACAAGGAATCAGGCTGCTGGAAACAGTCACTTGGGAGCTGCTGGGCTCGGTCCAGATCCACTCCAGCGTCAAGGTGGCATCCGAGGGTGTCTCTGGTCTTCCAGCCCGGTGGGAGAGGCCTCATCCGGGGCCCAGCGTCCCTGCAGAAGCCAGAAGGTGCAGGGGCCAGGGATGGGAGCCTCGGAGGGAGTCCCAGAGCCCTGGGCCTTGGGCCTGGACCGCGAGAGAAAGCTGGGTTGAGAGATGCTGGAGCCAGTGAGACTGAAATCAGTATAGAATTGAGCTGGGAGGGGACCTGTCCTGTTAGTCCCCCCACCTCTTCCCCAAGAGACAGGCACCCCTTCCAGCCCTGGGTCAGCGTAGGGAGTGGCACTTCTGCCTTGAGTCCCCAGGGGAAAAAAATATTTATGAAATAAATGGTAATTTGTGTAAATAAGCTTTAAGGTTCCCATAATATGCAAATTGGTATTAATTATTCAAAGGTGTACATTGATGTGTACATATATTTAGAGATTAACTCATACATTTAATTTTTTCCCCATTTTACATGAGCATCTATATTGTACAGGGCTGGAGGGGCCCTCGGCTGCGGGAGAAGGCCCCGAGCCCCGGAGGAGCCCCACCCCGCCGGCCCCTCGGCCCCTCCGCCCGGGCTTGGCTCGCCCGGCCCGCGGGCTCCACCTCAGGTTTTCACTTTTCGCTCCGGAGCGAGAACGAAATGACAAAAACGCGAGAAAACAATAAAACGCTACAAAGCGAAGTGAACGGCGCTGTGCGCTCTGTGGGCCGCGCGGGGCGGGGGCGCTGCACGCGCGCAAGGAGGGATGAGAGGCGGGGACAAAAGGCTGGGCGCCCCTCGCCCAGCGTGGCAGCTGCATCCGGGGGCGGCAGGGCGGCTGGGGTGCTGGCGGAGCGGCTTACGCCGGCCGGCGCCGGCGCGGGGGCGCCCGCTGTGTCCCAGGCCGGGGCCGGGCTCCCCCTGCCGGCCGCTCCCGCCGCTCGGCGCCTCGGGGCTGGGCACCCACCCCGGCCAGGAGGAGCGCAACCGAGCGGCCTGAACTCCAGGCTTCCGACTCCCTTTCCGGGCATCACACTGGAAACGCATCCCTTTTCAATGCTTCTGGGTAGGTGGGCTGGGAGGATGGGTGCTCCCTGTTCGCTCTCTCCCTTCCGAGGAGGGGTTCGGCTGTGTCCTACCCCCTAACCACCGCCAATTATCGCTGAGCCTAGAATTCTTTCCCCCCTCTACCTCCTGAACCTCAGAAACAAACGTTTCCTCCCCGTCAGGGCTGTTAGCTAGAGTGGCAAAAACTGGATTAAAAGTTCTTACTTTAACTCATCTATCTAAATCCCTGTGGGAAGTGGGGTCAGTGGGCTATTTCTATTCCTGCCTCAGTTTCCCCTGTATAATAATGGGCTTGACTGGGGGTGTCTCAGGGATCCCGCTGTGTCAATCTCCATTATGCTGGTCCTCGCCGGAGACCCACTCCTGCAAGGACAGCTGCCTCCCGCCTCGCTCCGGTGAGCACCCAGGGCCACATCCTCCTTGCCAAGCTAGCAGGTGTCTCCAGCCCCCACTCCTAGCAGTGGGGAAAAGGTGGGAGCTGGGCAGGCACTCCTTCAGCCAGGGGTCTGGTCGGTCACCGAGCAACCCACCTCCTTCCCAGTTCTCTCCTCTTTAAGACTTGGGGACCCTGAACGCCCTGCCCGAACAGGCTGCCCACCTTGGGCACCGCACCGGGTGAGGCCTGGGGAGGGTGCTGGCTTCCAAGACGCCAGGGACGTTGAGATGGAGGAAGAGTGAACGTGAAGGTGGAATAGACAGTTGGGCCCCCAGACCCCCAGGACGTTTTCGAGGGCCGATACATTTGCAAGAAGAGAGAGAACCAGGCCCGCCTCTTCAAGAGGGGGCTGCTCCCAGGCCACGCCGATTGCGGCTGGAGCGGGGAGGGGCCTCAGCCGGTGCACAGTGGGAGGCTGCAGTAAGTAAACTGTGTCCCAACACCAGAGGGTGGGTTCCCGCTTCCCTGCCCCAGACCTGCGGGCAGGTCCGGGAACCCGACGGAGACAGAGAAACCCCTTTTCCAGCCCAAATAGAAGCCTGTAGGCAGCGCGTTGATTAGAGGTCGCTTGGGCTGAAACGCCTCTGATACTCCCAGAGGAGAGCCGCGTTTGCGTCCCACGGCTTCTCACTTTCAGCAGGACATTAGGAGGGAGACGAGTCCGCTGCGGGCTCGCAGTGGCCTGCGGACAGGGCTGCGGACACCAGGGGGCAGCACCGACCTGGGGTCGCGCTAGCGGCGCGGGCACGGGGGAGACTGGTGGCTGCGAAGGCCGGGCGGGGCGGCCTCGTCGCGGCCTCTTTTAGGCCGCGTCGTTGCTGCAGCAACCCGGGTGTGTAGGGTGGGACTTCAGGGCCTCGAGATCCCCCACCCCACTCCCGCCGCCATCTCCCGCCGCACTTTTCCCCTCCGAGTCGCCCACCCGGCGCTCCGCTGGGCCCCAGCTGGGAGCCTAAGTGCGACTGCGGGAACCCGCGGCTGATGGCTGGACCTTGTCCCAGACAAAGGCTAGGCCACTCCCAAACCCAATTAAGCCACCCTTGTCCCCGGCCTCTCAGCACTTATTGTCCCCGGGGTCGCCAATTAGCCCAGGCGCCCCGCGTACCCGCCGCTCCAGTGCCGCAAGGCCTCCTTAACCCTTCAGGGCCTGGCCCGGGGGCCTTGGACGGCAGAGCCGCCGGCAGGCGCGTGGCAGGAGGGCCGGTGCTGGGGCGATGGCGTTGCCTGCTGGCGGCCTAACCTGTCGCCCCCGGCCCCCGCGTGTGGGGCGTGTGGGGTCTAAGAGAGAATTGTGCGTGTCGGTGTCGGGTAGCGCGTGCGATTCCCCGAGGAATTCGGAGACTGTGGGTTGAGTGCGGGGGCTTCCAGAGGTCCCTAGCGGCTAAGCCGCGCTGATCCCAACGCCCTGAGACCTCGTTTCCTCTCGGGTTAATCAGAGTCTTCCGAGCTCTCAAGCCCTTCCTCCCCCCTCTCTCCCGCCGCTGCTGCGGAGAACCCGAGCCACCGGTGTGGCCTGGCCCAGCCCTCCCGAAGGGCGCGGCTTCAGGGCCCAGCTCCCCAGCAGACCGCGGATTCCTACGCGGGGCGCTCCTGGGGCGGGAGGAGCACGCTCAGCCTCGCTGTCTCCAGGACTCCCACGCGCGAGCGCCCAGACTCGAGGCCCCGACGCCCCATTTCCCGGCTTCGCGATGGCCCCTTGAGGGACAGCCTCCACGAGACCTGGATTTACACCCCGAGGCTGCCTTCCTCCGCTCTGGGAAGGACCCAAAATCCAGTCCCGCTTCCTCCCCCTCCTTCGCTGTCCAGGGCCCCAAGGTGCCGAGCACCGGCCGGCGGGAGCCCGCAGGAGGCCGAGAGCTCCGTGCTCTCAGGACTAGGCGGCAGCGGGGGAGCCCCTGCGCGTTTGGGAGGGCGACCGAGCTCCGGCTCCCCTGGGTATCCTCCCGGGAGCGTCTTCGGGGTAGAGGCTGGTCGCCCGGCGCTGAACGCGTCCGACCACGCCCGTTACGGTTTTGCGTTTAGATTTCGTTGGGGCTCTCTGAAGGAGCATATCTGCTCCTCCTATTGGATGGGGATGAGGCCGGGGACCCCGAGCCCACTGCGGAAACACCCGGTTTCCAGAGCGGACGGCTGCGCCTCGTTTCCCCGCGCATCCTCTGGGCGGCTCCCGCAGCGCCCCGCTGGGGGCGAACCCCAAAGTCTGCCCAGGCCGCGGGCCTCGGCAACTCCCTAACAGGTCCACGAGATGGCGCTGCAGGCCAGGGCCGGGGCCGGCCACCTGGAGAGAGAGCGGAAGGTAGACTGGGACCCCGGCAAGCGGGGCACGGAGACGCAGCCACAAAAGCACGCAGAGCCGGGTCCGGAGCCTCGCATAGGCCGCCGAGGGACTTCGGGTCTGCGGACTCGCGGAGCTGAGGGCTCGAGGCTCAGGATGGGCCTTTCTACCCTGCTTCCGGGGCCGCCCGGTAGCGCCAGCTCGGCGACCTTCCAAGCAGGCTGCAGACCCCGACCTGCCCTCTTCTGCGCGTCGGCAGGGCTGGACCCTCGCATTCCCTCTGCGGGGAAGAAGCCGCGGGACTCCGGCCTCCCGGGCCCCTCCGTTGGGGGCTGTGGTTGGGATCCGCGGCGCGCCGGGCGCACGGCCCTGGAAGCGCGGGGCCAACTCGGCGGTGAGGACTTGGGGGCGGGGTAGGGGAAGGATCGGCGGGCATCCAGCGCTCCACGCGCGGCGAGGGCACCCTCGGCTCCGACCCGCCCTCCTCACCACCCTCACCCGGGTCTTCAGGGCGGGGTCTTCAGGGTCGAGGGCAGGATGTGCCCGGTGGAGCCGCTGCTGAGGTCCGGCCTCCGTAGGGGAGGCTTTGGGCTGCGTTATTCAGCTGGAGGTGGTGGGGACTGGGGGAGGTGGTACAGGGGTCAGCCTGAGAATGTCGCCCTTGGATTGAAAGCCACCAAGGCTCTGTCTGGGTCAGGTCTGAATAGGGGGCAAGGGATGTGAGGCTCGTTGGCCGCGGAATACCAGAGTTGGAGGGGGTGGGGCTTAGAAGCCTGTTTCCAGCTGAGCCTTTGTGTCCCCAGATGAGCTCTGGCACCCTCAGAGATTACCCCACACACGTTTCCTCAGGGCACACGGCTAGAAAGCAGCACAGCTAACACCAGAGGGTCATTTCCACTGCAATACAGTCACCGGCTGGGTGATGTGACCCAGGCCAGATGTCCCTGCACTAGGCTCTCAGCTCTTTTCTCTTTCAAAGTAGCGTAGCAGAGAATAGGACCGAATCTTGGTGATTTAATAATTATCTGCACGCTCATCTATGGCAGAGGTCACTGCTTGGTAGGAAAACTGGACAGGAGCTAGATAGGTACAAGGTCGAACTCTGCCTCGAGAGCTGTGGGTGCTCTTCAAAAATGTGACTTTATTTTCTGGGCCCCAGAATCCTCATCTGCAAAATAAGTAGTTTGGACTGAAATCAGATTGATCTGTAAATGGCCAGTTGACTTAGACCCAGTTTCCAATGACCACCCCACCCAGCCTCAACTGCCCAGACAAGAGCCATGTTCCCATTGAATGCTTGAGGAATCTGAGCCAGAGGGATAGGCAGAGTAACAGACCTGGAGGACCTTGCCAAGATTCTTGGGGTGGGGGAGAGGGCTGGTGGCCTGGGTGAATTCCCAATGAGGAAATTTTGTTCTAGGTCCAAGCCCCTCAGGGAATCGGTGGCCTCCACTCCCTGTGGGGTGCGATTGTTGGTCACAGCTTGGCCTTCCACCTTGAGCAAGCTGCTGTTGGAGAGCCACAGACTGTTGGTTTTGGGGAGGGGTGACTTTGGTCCCCAGCACCACACTTTGTTGACCGCATGTGACTTCTCCCGGAAGAGAGAAAGGAATACCAGTGAAGGCCATTCAGGCACCCAGGTTTAAGGGTGTTCCCCAGGCTAATTTCTCATCTGCGAGGAAGCCCTCATGACAGTCAACACACTTTCACATGTGGTCTCTCCCCGACCCTGGCTGGCAGGGTGGAGATTGTGAGTCCCCATTTCACAGACATGACATTGAGGTTCAGAGAACTGAAGTGAGGTGCCCAAGGCCATCCACTAAGTAAAGGACAGAGCTCTTTCACAATCCTGTGGGCCTGGCCCTTGGAAACCTTCACTGATGAAGTGATGATGGGTGAGAGTCAGACTTGCAACAGGAAAAGGGCAAAAGGGGCAGAGGATGGAGTGCCCAGATATTGGTGAGAGAAGCAGCCTGGCTCAGAGCCTAAGTCCAGCAGGCCGGGGAAGTGGCCTCATGGCTCCCGTCAGCCCAGCTGGGCCCACAGGGACCACTGGCCAGGGCAGGGGCTTCTCAGTGTAAAACTAACAGGAGCGTTGGGAGGGGGTGCGTCCCATGCTCAGTTCAGGGTGTGGTTCATGTTCGCTCTCATTATTATTTACTTCTCTCCCAAAGAGAACAAGTAGGATGCACTCTGGCCCCATGGTGCCTGCTCCTCAGCCTGACAGGAGCAGCTGTGGAACGGCCACTGTGTGCTTAACATACACACAGATGTTTTATTTAATTCTCAGCACTGGGTGGTTGGTACGATTACCTCCATTTTACAGACAAGAAAATGGCCAAAGGTGATAGAGCGGCTAAGAAGCAGGTCACAGGGCCACACCAGGCTCTGGCAGACCCCAGGCCTGTGCCTACCGTTCCTGCTCCACAGCCCCTAGGCTGCAGAGAACCCTGGCATTTGGCCTGTGGCGGGCTGTCCTGGGAGCTGGTTTTCATGTAGCCCTGGACTGGCTGGTCGATTCCTTCATCCAGCCCTCACTTTGGGTTTTCTTTATTTCCTTCTTGGGGGGCTGTCCACACTTCCATGCTTTGCCTACCCACAACCATCCCCATTTGCCCACGACAGTTCTGGTTTGAGTACTGGCATTCTGAGTTCTGGAAAACCTCTCAGTTTTGAGCAAGTCACCCAGTAGGTCACCCTGCCATCCCCACACACATACCCCTACACTGGGCCAGAAGACCCAGGAATAAGTGAAACAGACAACAGCGCCCTTATTGAGGAGCCAATGATCTGGTACAAGATAGCAACATTCAATGAGTTGTCCTCCCAAAAGAAGACAAAGTGGTGCATAGGGTGGGGTGGGAAAAGACTTAGCCCCAGGAAACTGGGGGCAGAGAGGAGCTGCAGAGACTTAGAGAGGCTGGGGAGCTGGCAACTGGCCTGGTTTCTCCAAGGAAAGCTACCCCACCAAACATCTTCACATTGCGCATGTCTCCGTGTGTTCATGTATGTCTGTGTGGCAGGTGCATGTCTATGTGCGTAACACTCGGCAGGAGTGCAGAAAGCCCTTGCTGGGTGAGTGACTGAAGTGCACCTGGTCCCTCCAGGATACTCTCCCAACACCCAGCCTCAGGTCCTGGGCCAGAGGCCCGTTCTCCAAATCCACTTGTGTCCCCCACGGAGAATTCTGGAGGGCTTCCGGTCTTCCTTTCAGCCAAGAGGGCCTCCTCTCTCTCCTGGGGAACTGAGGCCCAGGGAGTGTGTGTGTCTTGCTTGAGGATGTGCCTCTGCAGGAGAAAGTTCCAGGCCATCCACAGACACTCCTGGCCCTCAAACCCTGCTCTCTACCTGTGCGGGTGATTCTGTGCTGCCTAAGGGTCTGGAAATTTCTGGTCTCTGGAGCAACAGGGCAGACCTCTCCACCGGGGTCCCTTGGGGAAGCTCCTAGCATGTTTGTCCCCACAATCTTTCCTCTGGAGTAGAGGGCCTTCCTCAAATGCAGCTGAGATGAAGTCACTGCCCTGGTTAAAGCCTCCCAATGCCTTCCCTTGCTCTTGGGGTCAAGCCCAGCCTCTTTGGCCTGGCACTGAGGCCTGTGTGAGTCCTGCCTACTCACCCCCCTCCCCAGGACTCCTCCCCCACTGCCCACCTCTAGGCTCGTTTTGCTGGCCTTGCCTTGGCCTCCCCATACGCACATGATTTTTCCTGGGCTTGGAATGCTCTTCCTGCCTTCCTCCAAAAAACTCAGCCCACTGGCTCCTTCTCCAGGGAGCTGCTCCTCTGCCTTCTCCCTCCTGAGTTGGGTGCCCACGCACGCCCTGTCTCGTGTTAGTGGTCAACGAATGTGTGGACTTGGGCAAGTTACTCTACCTCTCCATCACCCCTGCAAAGTGTGGATACCAGCACCTGCTCCTGCGTGGTTCATAGTGGGGCTGGTCTGGAGCTTGGACCAATGAGTGATGGTTCCCGCCCCTTGGGGGGGACCCTAAGCACTGCTGAGGACGGAGCCTGGGGCGCTGTGCGAGTGGGGAAATAACCCTCAGCCCAGCGCAGCCGCCAGGGCTGGGCCTGCCAGAGAGGAGCCCCTTTCCCACCCTGGAGGCCAGGCGCGGGCCAAGGAGACTGAATGTGCCCTAAACCTGGGGGTTTAGACTAGAGGGGGCCCAAGGGCCTGCCTGCTGGGTGTCTGCGGATGAACGGCGGCGAAATCCTGAGGCCAAAGAGCCTTCATGCGCACGCGCGCTGGCGACACCTCCTCCCTCTCCCAGGGAAGCGCGGCCCGGGGAGTGGGTATTTGTTGCCGCAGGGTGGTTGCTGGTGACCCGGCTGGATTAATATCTTCTGTGGACTGCCTGCGCTGTGCGGGCAGTGGCTCCCACCTACCACTAGATGGGGATCTGGAGTCGTTCAAACCAGGAGTCGGGGCTTGGGTTCAGGCCTGGAGCCCCTCGCCCTCCTGCCGCCAGCCAGGGTTTCCCAGCCTGCCTGGCTGCAGCCTCCCAGACACTGGGCCCGCGCCCTGTGCCTCCACTTTCATTTCTAGCTAGGCACTGCTGCCAGGGGATAACATTGAGGGAAACGAATGAGAACACGGACTGTGCAGCCAGAGAGCCCTTGGGTTCAAATCCCAGCTGCACATGCGGTTTCTGGGGCTTTGGCTCCTTCCTCATCTCTGAAATAGACTCATTTACTTATTCTGCAAAGGGCAGGAGGAAATGTGGCTGCCCTAATCACCACTCAGAGTTGTGGGAATGGGCAGTGTCTTGTGTGCTCTGATCCCTCACATAGCACAGCTAACCGGGGACAGTGGCTGTGTTCCAAGTCTTCCCCGTGCCCCTGTCTCACTGATAGAAACGTACCTGTCCCACGGCTCCCTCCCTTGGGACCTTGCTGGGAGAGAGGGGCCCATCTGACTTAATGCACTGCCTTTCCAGATGCTGTACTGGCAGCTTCCATCCGAGCTGGAGTGGGGGACCAGACTCTGGCCTGGGTCCCAGGGGCACCAACGCAGAGGCACAGATGTCTCCCCTCACGCCACGCCTATCACACAAGGGCCCTGCCTCTTCTTCCTCTATGAGGCTCTGGGCCAGGGCTGAGGGATGATTTCCCTTCTCCTCCATTCACAGGCAGAAAAATTGAGCTTCAGAGAACCCAAGACAGATTCTATCAGTGGGGAAAAGCAAAGAGTTGGCCCAGGGAAAGGGAACATGGAGGTTGGGGTTGCACCAGTCTTGGTCTTGGTCACCTTGGTTCAGGTGTCCCCTTCTTTCATGCCTTGTGGTCTTTTCCCTGACATAGGAGAGATTTGTATGACAGTCCCCATCTATTCAGACATCAGAACCTGCCACGCCCAGAGAGAGCTGCTCTCCCTCTCACCCCTTTGGGAGCCAGAGGTCTCTTCCCCAGGGTGGAAAGATGGAGGTTAAGAAGGGGTTAACCCTTCTTGTGTTCACAGAACTTCAACAAGGATGCATTGAGTGACGGCTACAGTGTCACGTGTGGGGAGTCCTCCCTCTATCTCTCACACACTCTGGACTCCTTGCTATTTTTTCTTTCTTTTTAAAAATTGAGATGTTATTTGCATAAAACATACTATGAAAGGGTACAATCCATTAGTTTTTACTCTACCAGATTGTGCAACAATCACCACTGTCACTCTGCAGCCCTTGACAACCACGAAGCCGCCCTCTGTTTCTGTGGGTTTGCCCATTCTGGACATTTCATATCAACAGAATCATATGCTTTGTGCCGTTTTGTGACCGGCTTCTTCCACTTAGCTTACTGTTTTCAAGGCTTACCCATGTTGTAGCACATATTGATACTGTCATCCTTTGTACCACTCAGCCAAATTCCATCACGAGGCTATTCACCTCTTATTTCTGCATCGTCAGTTGATGGGCATTTGGGTTGTTTCCGCTTTTGACTATTATGAATAATACTGCTCTGAACATTCACGTCCAAGTCTTTGTGTGAATATGTTTTCATTTCTGTTGGGTATGTCTAGGAGTGGAATCACTGGGGCAGATGGTAATGCTAACTTTTCTCCCCACCAGCATCCAAAGCAGTTAATGCTAACTTTTTGAGGAACTTAGCAGTTAGCACTTACCAAAGTGATAACTTTTTATCCAAGTGCTGACTTTTTGAGGAACCACCAAACTGCTTACCATGCCACCATCCCACCAGCAATTCCTTGCCATTTCTTGAATGTGCCAGCCACACTGCTCCTTGGTCCCTGACTTCTTTCTTGGCGAGGCCATCATTGGCCATCTGATGGAAAACAGGAGCCCACTTTCAGCCTCTCCACTCCCTTCCTCTCCCTGCCTCTGTTGTCGATATCAGATGTGCAGAGACTATTTTACTTACTTATTTTGTTTATTGTTTCCCCTCACTAGAATTGAGCTCCGTTCATGGTTCTATCATTGGTCCTAGAACATTTTATGGCACATCTAGGTGCTCAGTCAATGTTTGTTGAGTAACATGAGTGAAGGAATGTAGGACGCCATGCCAGGTACACAGGGCAGAACGTGGTGAGTTCTCATGGAAATGGACCAAGTGTGACCGAGGCCACAGGGAGGTAAACTGAGCATCACCAGGGCCTCCTGCCTATACATTTCTCCACCTATCAAGTTGACCTCGGGGGCTCAGGACAACCCATGCTTTCACCCTCATCAGACCAGCAGAGAAGAACCGGGCCTCCTCCCCCAAACTGGGCAAGAGCTGGGGATACAGGTTAGTTAGCCATGTTGTCATCACAACAGTTCTGTCTCCTGCATGGGACACTGTAGACAATGCAGTGGTTGAGGAAGGATTTGAAGGGTGGCAACTGGGGAGGGGATTCATGTGTCAGTGCCCTGCATCAGCCCTGTCTGTCCCCACCCAGGTCTCCATCTGCCTTGGATACCCAGATGTGAGAGCTGCTCAGTCGGGAAGGATGTTGGCCTTTCCCATGCCAGGAGTGAGGGTCACAGTCCCAGCTGTCCAGCTGACCCAGCAGGCATTTTATGGCTTCACCTCAGCTGGCCTCTGGACATATTAGTCAGGAGTCCTTCTGTCATAAGGGCAGAAATCCAACTCAAGCTGAAGAAAAAGGGCAGTGTGTTGGCTTGTACAGGATTTGGGGAGTGCAGGGAAGGGACAGCTGCCTTCAGAATGCTGGGGGCTAGAGACACATGCCCTGGCACTGGCTCTCTCTGTCTCCATCTCTCTCCCTTGCTTTTTCTCTCATTTCTTTCCTCTCTGTGTTGGCATCATTCTCTCCTACCACAGATGGGCTTCTTCATGTGGCAGGGGGCTTGGCTGCAGGCAGCTGTGAGTTACAGAAATCCAGCTTCGTGGCTCAAAAGGGAAGGAAATGGCTCTGCTGTTCTACTTAGAACAATCCCAAGGAAACACTCAGATTGACCCCTGGGATCATATGCCCATCTCCCTCCTCCACCACTGTTGTCAGTGCGGCCACACCAGAAAACCAGGCTTGCTGGTCTCTCTCAAAATGCACACTGACTCCCTAGTACTTCCTTCACAATATAGTTCTCTCTCTCTCTCTCTTTCTTTGGGACAGGGTCTCGCTCTGTCATCCAGACTGGAGTGCAGTGACATGATCACAGCTCATTGCAGCCTCAACCTCCTGGGCTCAGGTGATCCTCCCACCTCAGCCTCCCAAGTAGCTGGGACTACATGTACATGCCATTATGCCCAGTCATTATTTTTTCTTTTTTTCTTTTTTTTTGGTAGAAACTAGGCTTTCACCATGTTGCCCGGGCTAGTCCCAAACTCTTCAATTTAAGCAATCTTCCTGCCTGGGCCTCCCAAAGTGCTTGGATTACAGCCATGAGCCACTGTGCCTGGCCTGATTTCTCTTAATCCATACAACTGCTCTGGAGAAACATATACTGGTCAGGGCTCTTGTAGCTCCTACTGACAAAAGCCCAACTCAGATTAGCTTAAGCCAAAAAGGGAATGTTTTACTCTACATAATTGATAAAAGCAGGTGTAGACTTCAGGCATAGCTGGTTCCAGGGAGTCAAATGAGACTGGGCTGTCTCTTACTGGCTCCAGCTCTTAGCCGGACTTCCCTCTGTATTGGCTCAGCTCTCAGGCACATCCTCCCCAAGCATCAGGAAAAAGTGGCTAGGGCAGCCTGGCTCAAATGGCCTGCAGAGCCCTAATTCCCAGGGGAAGAGGGAGACTGCTTTCCCTGCATAGAGCAAACTATCTCAGGGGACTGGTTGGCTCCCATAAGGGTTCAATATCTACTCAAGGCACAGGAGAGAGAACTATATTTGGCGAGGCCAGGTCATGTGCCCACTCCTGCACAAAAATGAGACAGGGCTGTGAGGAGTAGTGCCCCCTGAGCAGAGACAGGGCAGACTGATTGTATGTGTGGCCAGCTGCGCAACTTTCCCATTGCACAGATGAGGCCTGAACAGATAAGGCAACTTGCCAGTACCATAGGCTAGAGACACAGTCAGGATTCAAAGGCATATCTGTCATCTCTTCCCAGAAAACCAGCCTGCCTCCTTTTAAAGTGCTGAGTTAAAACACCCTTGAAGAAGTAGATTCCTGGTGACAGCCATATCATTCCCAGCACCCCTTGCAGCAACTGCCACAGAGAGGATTGCATCGGAGGCCGAGTTGGCCGCACTCTCAGACAAGATCTGTGACCAGCTCTCCATGGTTGAAAGGGTCTCTGGTCATTGACTCCAGTTGTCATGCTGAGTCATCAATCCAAACGAGGTTTGATTTTTGGCAAGGGTGCCAAGACTATTCGATGTCGGAAGGATAGTCTTTTCAACAAGTGGTGCTGGGAAAACTGGACATCCACAGTTCCGTCTCCTGGATGGGACACTGTAGACAATGCAGTGGTTAAGATAGGATTTGGAGGGTGGCAGTTGGGGAGAGGCTTCATGTGTTGGACGCTTACCTTACATGATATACAAAATTAACCCCCAAATGCATCAAAGACCTAAACTTAAGAGCTAAAGCTACAAAACTCTTAGAAGAAATCACAGGGGCAAATCACGACCTTGAATTTGGCAATGTTTTTAAAAACATGACTCTAAAAGCATAGACGACAAAAAAATAGATATATTGAACTTCATAAAATTAAATACTTTTGTGTACCAAAAGACACTATCAAGAAAGTAAAAACGCAACTCACAAAATGGGAAAAAATATTTGTAAATAATATAGCTGATAAGAATTTAATATAAAAAATACATTATTTCTACAACTTAACAACAAAAAGATAAATAACTCAATTACAAAATGGACAAAGGACCCCGAATAGATTTTTTTTCCAAAGGAGATAATACCAGTGACCAGTAAGAACATGAAAAGATGCTCACCATTATTAGCCATTAGGGAACGGCAAATCAAAACCACAAGATATCACTCCACACTCACCAGCATGGCTAGAATTTTAAAAGAGAGAGAGAGAGAGCCAGGCATGGTGGCACACAACTGTCGTCCAAGCTACTTGGGAGGCTGAGGAGGGAAAATCACTTAAGCCCAGGATTTATAATCTAGCCTGGGCAAAATAGTGAGACCACCACCTGTACTAGAAAGAAGAGAGCGAGCGAGAGAGAGAGAGAGAGAGCAAGAGAGAGAGAGAGAGTGAGACAGAGAGAGAGCGAGAGAGAGAGAGAGAGAGAGAGAGGAGAGAGAGAGAGAGGAAGGAAGGAAAGGACGAAGGAAGGACAGGAGGAAAGAAAGAAAGCTTGGCAAAGATGTAGAGGAAAAAAAATTTTTTGAGACAAAGTCTCACTCTGGAGGGCAGTGGTGCAGTTATACCTCACTACAGCCATAATCTCCTGGACTTAAGTGACCCTCTACCTCAGCCTCCTAGGTAGCTGGCTCTGTAGGTGTGCGCTACCACTCCTGGCTAATTTTTGGCTTTTTGTAGAGACGAGGTCTCACTATGTTGCCCAGGCTGATCTCGAACTCCTGAACTCATTTGAGATCAGCCTGGCCAATATGGCAAAACTCATCTCTATTATAAATACAAAACTAGTGGGGTGTGGTGGTGGGTGCCTGTAATCTCAGCTACTTGGGAGGCTGAGGCAGGAGAATTGCTTGAATCCAGGATGCAAAGGTTGCAGTGAGTGGCTGCACTGCACTCCAGCCTAGGCAACAGAGACCCTGTCTCAAAAAAATAAAAAATAAAATAAAATAAAACATAGTAATACAATTAAAATAGGACGTGAACATAACAAATGTACCCCTCTGGTTGGGGACATTGAAAATGGGGGAGGCTGTGCATGTGTGGGGGGCAGACGGCATGTGGAAAACCGCTTATGAATGAATGAATTTGTATGAATAAACACCACCTTTCTCTCAATTTTGCAGTCAAGCCAAACTGCTCTAAAAATTTATTTAAAGGGGGCCGGGCGCGGTGGCTCACGCCTGTAATCCCAGCACTTTGGGAGGCTGAGGCAGGTGGATCACGAGGTCAAGAGATCGAGACCATCCTGGTCAATATGGTGAAACCCTGTCTCTACTAAAAATACAAAAAAAAAAAAAAAATACAAAAAATTAGCTGGGCATGGTGGCGCGTGCCTCTAATCCCAGCTACTCAGGAGGCTGAGGCTGCCGTGAGCCGAGATCGCGCCATTGCATTCCAGCCTGGGTAACAAGAACTAAACTCCATCTCAAAGAAAAAAAAATTTTTAAAGGATATGCATCTTTCACATAGATTTACCTGACAGTTTGTTTTCCAACAAATATGTATGGAGCAACCATTCAGTGAAGGCATCTGGTTGGCACTGGGAGGTCCATGACGCAGTTGTGCCCTCAGGGGTCCTGGGACTACAGCGGAGCTTGCCAAATTCTCAGACAGAGGGGAGCTGGATGAAAAGGACGTGCAAGAGCAAAGAACATGAATTTGCCTCCTCAGTGTCTCCAAATTGCCCAGAGGTTGATTACAAGCATTAAAGTCCTTTCCGTGCTACCCACAGAGGGGTCCATACGGTGTTGTTCTGGATTCCTGTCTTAACTTAAAGGGAAACTTTCACAATGTCTGGAGCTCTTGGTGTCCCGCACATGAAGGAGGAAGATGTCCTTAAGTTCCTCACAGCAGGAAGCCACTTAGGTAGCACCAACCTTGACTTCCAGATGGAACACTACATCTAGAAAAGGAAAAGTGATGCCATCTACATCTGAAGAGGACCTGGGAGAAGCTTCTGCTGGCAGCTTGTGCCATTGTTGCCATTGAAAACCCTGCTGATGTCAGTGTCACATCCTCCAGAAATACTGGCCAGAGGGCCGTGCTGAAGTTTGCTGCTGCCCCTGGAGCCACTGCAATTGCTGCCGCTTCACTCCTGGAACCTTCACTACCCAGATGCAGGCAGTCTCCTGGGAGCCACGGCTTCTCACGGTTACTGACCTCAGGGCTGACCACCAGCCTGTCATGAAGGCATCTTATGTTAACCTACCTCCCAGTGCTCTGTGTCACACAGATTCCCCTCTGCGCTACGTGGACATTGCCATCCCATGCCACAACAAGGGAGCTCACTCGGTGGATTTAATATGGTGGATGCTGTCTCAGGAAGCTCTGTGCTTGCGTGGCACCATTTCCCATGAGCACCTGTGGGAGGTCATGCCTGATCTCTGCTTCTACAGAGATGCTGACGAGACTGACAAAGAAGAGCAGGCTGCTGCTGAAAAGGCTGTGAACAAGGAGGAATTCCGGGGTAAGTGGACTGCTCCAGCTCCTGAGCTCACTGCTTCCCTGACTGAGGGTACAGACTGGTCTGACCACACCTCAGCGTGCCAGGCCTTTGGGCAGAGGGCAAGAGTTCAGGCTGCAGCTGCCCTCTGTGCCTATCCAGCAGTTCCCTACTGAAGACTAGAGAGCTCAGCCTGCCACGGAAGCCTGGTTTGCAGTTTCCACTGTCAGGCCACTGAATGGGTAGAAACAACCACTGAATGTTCTTAAGCTGTTCTTGCACAGGCTCTTAAGCAACGTGGAAGTAAGGTTTATGGAAAATAAATATCAGTTAAAAAAAACCTGTTAAAGTCATCTGAGCTCCATCCTGACCTACTGAGTCTGAATGTGCTCGGCTGGATCTCCATTTCTGGCCTAGGCGGGAACCACAGCCAGAGGACTTGAACTAGGAGGGCGTGAGAAGGGCCATGCAGCTTCCTCCCTGCCCGTGGCCAATGATTCACCAATTCAGTTCTCTCCACTCCTAGAGCCTCATGCCCTGGCTGCCAGAAGTTGCCCGGTCTCTTTAAAGCTCTCCTTCAGGAGAAGCTCCTGACTTTGGTCCATCTTGGGGGAAACAGAAAACAGCTCCCCACCCCCTCCATTCCACTATCTTCTGAAGAGTAAAGGCTGATTAAGAGCTTTGCAACTTGGGCAAATGTATCAATCCTTTGCATAGATGGTGTTTCTGCTCCTTTGGCCTGAAGACTCAATGCCAACCCAGTACCCCTGGTGAACACATCCCCTATGTTGAGAATGGTGGGTGTGGGGTTGCGTGGGGGAGATTCTGCCCTCTGCTCACTCAGGCCTCAGGAGCTGAGGTCACCAGGCAGCTGCCACTCTGTGGGCACCCATTTTGTTTTCATGGGCCAAGTCCTGGAATGGGGAAGGCATATGTGGACAGTGGGC